AGAGTGGTTAAAAATGAGATAATTGGTGTATTGTAGGGTTAAAGCTCTCTCAAATTCCCCCATGGTTGCCACTACTATTCCCAAGCAATATCTGTAAAATGACATGAATAACACACTAGTGATATATTTTTATAGTCATTAAAATAAAGATGTGCATGCATCACCTACCATCTTGAATTGCACCAGGAATTATGCATAGCATGCTTTCGAAGCTACTGTTGTAGAAGATTTAAGATATGTATAGAAATAGGCGACTTGAGAGAGAATGTACTAACAGCCATTAATTGCTGTGAGCAAGATATAAACAAATCACAGAGATTAAATGAGGGAGAAATGACTACCAGGAGCAAAACAAGTACTTATATCACACACATGCTTACACTGAACAAATATGACAAAGAACTTTGGCAAACTCTGCTTTCCATAAACTCTGCTGAAAGCCATTATCAATACTTCCTCACCTCCCTCATCTTATCCTGTAAAACATCTGCTTCTTTAAAAAGAAATTGCATACTAACTCTCCAACTAGATGTTAAAAATCATGACTTTCTTTTCAGAGGAGGAAGGATGGGGAAAAAAACATGCCTTCTGTGATTTTCACCAAAAAAATTCCAATTTTAATTAAAACCATATATTTAGCATGCGTAAAGGTAACAAATGGGAATTTCTTGGACAAAACCATGCTCCTCCGTGAATTCAGATTAGCAATGCTGTGTTACTGGCTGACTTTTGAACATTCTGTTCTATTTGAAACAGCTGGGACAGCAAGGAAGGCTATGTCCTGCAGAAACCCAATAAGGCCTGATGAAAGAGAGGCCATGAAATGCCTCTGTTGTCTACCAAGACAGAGAAAATGTGTTCGATTCAGCTTTGAATTGAATTCTAAATATAAATTTTCAGATTAGGCTTTTTCCAGTTAGCTTGGTCAACTTAATACAACATTACATTATGCTCTCACAAATGTAGACATTGGTCCTGTTCAAAATCTTGACAGGTTTCTAGAAATCTGATCATTTTTGTCTTGGTGATTGCCATGGGAATAAACAACAGAAGATCAGCCCTAGCCTTGGACTGACTGAAAAAGAACCTGACTTGCTGACTTCCTGCTAACCCTTGCCTCCACCAGCTGTGTGGTTATGTTGGATGTTTCCCTGCCTTCTTACAACAGCAAAAACATGAGAGAAGCCAGTTGCCAACATGGTTCTGCTATGCCAACAGTTATTTGTCTGTCAACAGTAATACAGTCAGAGTTCTATAACTAAAATGCTAATAGAGATCCTCTTCCAAACTGAGATGTGGATAAAACACTTCCCTGTACCTTGTCATCACAAACCTCTTTTCAAAAGATTCTTGAGCAAAGTTCTTTCCACTGAATGCCTAATGTGGTTTATTGGGACCACCTTTATAGCATTTATCCCCTTCTCCTTTGCATTATAGTTGTTTGTGTGAAGGGTTTAAATTCCTAAGGGTGAGTAATGGTTTTTCTTATTATGCCATTGCCTCGAGCCCCTAGCATAGCACACCTTGTTTATAGTAGAAACCCAATAAATGTTTGTTGAATGTTGTGTTTAGAAAACCACCACCACCAACAACAAACATGAATATCTTCTAATTACAAGAGAAGTTCCAAAAGGTCAGGGATCTTTGTCTTGTTCACTGATTTGAGTCCCATGAACCAAGAAAGTTCCTGGCTCATTGCTGGCACTTAATATTTGTTGAATGGATGGATAAGCATTATGGCTTTCCAAAGAGCTTCGACAGTATATATATTCATTGGTAAATAAAGAAAAGGAAATATGTCATATAATGTGTAAAGGAAGAAAAAGTAGATGTCTAATTCCTCTTTTCTCTAGACCAGGGGTTGGCAAACTTTTTTTGTAGCAGGCCAGAGAGTAAATAGGGTTTTGTGGGCCATATGGTTTCGGTTGCAACTACTTAACCCTACCACTGAGTGCAGATGCAGCCATGGATAATAGGTGAATAAATGAGTGTGCCTGTATTCCAATAAAGCTTTATTTATAAAAAATAGTTGGCAGGCAAGATTTGGCCTCTAGAACAACTGTACAAGAATTATCTGCTAGAAGTAATATGACTAGGTTATTATTCCTTCATTGAAGACTATGCATTCTGTACCTTTATACGTCCCTCAGCAGGTAGTACAGTGGTTTACAGTATGGTAGCTGTACAGTATGTTTGTTGAATTAAACTGAATCTTAACACTAACTGATTTCCTGGAACTGCAGTTTTCAGTAGAACCAATGAACTCAAATCCTTGTAATATGACTTTTCTTTGAACTCTCTCCTAGCAAAATGTGGGGGAAGTTAATAGCTGCTGAAATAATGTTTTCTGGAACTGAAGTCATAATGGTGTTCCTTCTCTGAAGACTAAAGAGTCCCGATTTCTCTTATTCAAAGCATTTTCTTCAGGATGTCAATGACTAACCAGAGGTAGCTCTTTTGATTATCCATGAAGACAAGAAATGATTAACATAACTTTCTCATTACCCATCTAAGCTAATACTTCTTTTGAAGCTATCTCCCCTCTCAGTCTTTTTAAATAACATATTTACATAAAAGGCATATGAGCAAATGACCACTGGTATCTACAATCAGAAAAAAACGTGTTCTCACATTTTCCTCTCCAATGACTACCAAAATGTGATATTCCCATGAGTTTTGTGTTAAATTACTACATTATTTCAGGCCAGGAATCTGCTATGTATGGTAATAGTCTATATATTTAACATTGAAATGCATCAGTTTTAAAATGTTTAAGTAGTATTAATGTGGAAGAATGTCATCAGAAAATGTGCTTTGTGGTCCTATCCTATACTTGCACTATTTATTTGCAGAATTTTCAAACTTATTTCTCATTCTGCTAAATGTTGGCCTCTCTTGCGAACTAGGCTTGCTTTCCTCCTCAGCTGCAAATGTAATTTTAAACAGAACTCCAGTGACATTACTTGCTGAACATATTAAACATTCATAGCTTTGCCATATGCTGTTAGGGAAATTGTATTGATTTATAGCAATTTGGGTGCCAATAGATAACACTGATTCACTTGATACCAAATATAACTGTATTGGGAAATAATGTTTTAAATGTTTCATCTGCATCTAGACCTCTGTTGAACTAAGAGGCATGTACTGTGTTTGTGTATTTCTGCAAAAACTTTTCTATAAAAAAATACAGTTCTACATTTGATGACTTCTAGAAAATATTAGTTATATGAGGACTAAATTTATACTGTAACAGCACAGTGGTCAAGGACATAAATTACAGGGACCAGGCAGATTAAGGTTTTAATCCTGATTCAACCATTTAATTACTTTATAACCTTGCTTTCTTCAATGGTAAAAGAGGAAAAATAATGGTGCCAACCTGCCAGGATTGCTGTGATGATTAAATATGATAATGTACATAAGGCATGCAACACCTACAAAAAGAGCAACTTTATGTCATCTGTACTAATACATGCTCTATAATTACTAATTATTATTAGCTTTTGTAGCCTAAACCTTGCATTTCTGTTAAAGATAAGCAGAACTGCTTTAAATGGTGGAGAAATGCTTAAGTATATGAGACCTGATGAGAATGCTGGGAGGTGATTTAGGAATTTAAAAATTGCCATGTGAGACAAGGTCACTACTATAGTCCATATACCAATTTATAAAAAACAAACGTAAAAGGGAACAAAGTCACAGGATGTCCTCTTCACAGTAAAGGTATCAATAACTTGGCATAATTTTGTTAATTTCTGTTTGCGATGGAGTTAGTATAATGATCATTTTAAGTATGCTAAGGAGGACTTATGGAAATGAGCACCATCTTTATACCCACTGAGCATTCTATCCTATTACATTCAGAGGGGGAAAGAAGCTTCTTAGAAATAATTATATTTGGCTGTAATAAGTGAATATATACAGTGTAATGAATATTCATATATATTAAAGTTTATAAGAATAGAAAAAAGCCAGAGAGCCTTTAGCTTTTCTTCTTTTTTTAAAATGGACTTGGAGTGCACATTTGAATATAGATGGATTCCCTCCAGGTCATTGTTCTCAATGGGGGGCAATTTTGCTCTCCAGAGGACATTTGGCAATGTCAGGGGACACTTTTGGATGTCACAACTTGAGAGGGGGGATGCTACTGGCATCTAGTGAGTAGATTTTAGGGATGCAACTAAACATCTCACTATGCCTAAGACAACCTCTATTATCTGGCCCAAAAAATCATCTATGGGATTTATTCCCAAGGAACCTTAAACTTACTGAATTCCCATCTCTAAGAGTTAAGTGCTGTTCAGGGCCAAATGGGTTTAAAATCATCCATACCCTAGATGCACATTAGGTAGGCTCTAGGGAATGCCATAACTTTTGTCAATATGGTCAAATCTTCCCAGTATCTGTGTGGGTTTCATGGTCATAAACCATAAGCTGAAGTATGAGCATGGAGTTCACATCCTCAGGAAAACAATGACTAGACATGCCAAGGCTATAGTTTACAAAGTATAATACATTAGTTGTCCTACTGTGGACTTCATGGCTGACAGAGTTGGACTTACACATAGAGGATAGAAACCATCGCACTAAGACTTTGACCAACCAAGGGGCCAGGGGTTAACTGGCTCAGGATTTCTTAAGCGGCATCAGTTCCCATAGACAAACAAGACATTGAGCAACAATGGCACAGACTGAAGGTTTAGTTCTCAGGCAAAAAGTTATAAGCACAATCTTTGGATTTTTGATCTCTATTTCCACAGAACTGAAAAGCTATTTCATATACCAAAAAAAAAAAAAAAAGGTTTTCCCAAATTTGATAAGAATTCTAAAAATTTATATTATATTATCAATTACAAGCTATTTCAAAGCTGAAAAAAAAAAAAAAAAGCTTCAGCTTCACCAGTGCCCTTACATGAACACTGGAGGGCTGCGTAAGAAGCAGTAGCCTTAAACACGGATAATGCTTACTGACTAAAGATGTATATAAAGAACATTACTTTGAAACTTCTGTTCCTGTACTTGGTGTCATCTTGGTGATGCTGAAGAGAATCTCTGCGAACTCTGTATTTAGAATATCTCCCATCAATTCTCTCAGATGAACTACGCGTATCCTGGGAAAACAACACAGGGTGTGAATTGGTGAATGAAAGCAAAATTAGTGCTTGAAATTAGAATAAGAAAGTAATGATATGTAAATATATAGGGCAACCATGGGCCACCATGGAAAAAGAATAAAATGGTCACTGTGGATGCTACCAAAAAATAAAATGAGTCCCACATTGGTCATTTGGTTTCTTTTAACAACTAGTCCCTCTGCTTATCTGAAATGATTAAAATCCTTTAGAACAAGATTCAAGTCACAATGAGTTGCCCAAAGATCATCATTAATGATTTGTGCCCATTTTAGATGTTGCGTACCATCTCTTGTAGTACTTGATATCGAGTATTTTCGATATATATATCGAATATATCGAATATTTTGTTAAAAAATGCTACCTTTAAAACTAAAGCCCTTATACTTTACTTATCTTTAAATAACATTCTACCTTTTAACTATTATGTCACGTAAATACTTAAACTTAAGGATATCTCCTCTGCCCTTATAAGAATAAAAGATTCAGGTAATAAAGAAATTAAGACAGCAAAAATTTCCAGGGTCTGCCTTTCTTTCTTTTTTCCTTTCATTTCTTGGGAGAAAAAGAACACAGCAAACAGTTAGTTACCATAGCCAATTATTTAGACATTTCTATTTTGATTTAGGGAGAAATTAGAAGAAAATGAAGGCAACTGATTTTGGGATGTACAAAAAATCATCTATGGAATTTAGTACCCAAATAGTCCCAAGGAACTTTAAACTTATTGCATGCTCAACCTGGAAGGGGTATTAGAATTCCAACGTTCTTATTTTTATTAAAAAACCAAATAAACACACCCTAAAAACTAGAGCCCAGGGAAGTTAAGAATGGTTTGCCCAGGGCTAGACAATTTGTGGCTGATTGAGTTTGGAACCCAATGTTATTCCCTTTCCACCTTATCAAACATGTAATGTTTAAAATATGGGATCGTAGAGCTGAACTATTTGTTTTAAAATGAGGTGTGAGAGAGAGAATATGACTACATGTAAATAAGAATAAAGTCAAGCCTATCTAAATAGAATGAGGTCTGTACTCACACTTAGAGTCATAGGCTACAGAACTATCAAGAAATATGTGACATAAATTTTCTCATATATGCTAGTGATGTCGGTGTAAGTAGGAACCACAGAGATAATATTGCTCAATTCTCTCATTGTATGGTTGAGGACCTATCCCTGAGACACTAAGAGATTTTGTCTGGTGCATGAACTTGGACCAGAACTTAGGCCTTTGCATTCCTGTTCATAGCATATTAAATTTCAGAAAGTTTTAAGGGTTTGAAAACATATAATCCGTATCTGATAATCTAAAGGCTTTACGTATTTTCATTTAAGGCTATGTCTATGTCTAGTCAATTTTATTAAATTGATTTAAATGAGCTCTTTTTAATCCTAAAGATGGCATTAGAGTATATATTGATGGGTTTCAAGCTAAAGGCAGCAGGGCAAAGCAGATGGGCTTTGCTTTTGTACATAGAATTAGATCCCACTTTCAACTAATTTAACATACTCCAAACTTTGGTGTTCTCATCGGTAAAATGGGGAAAAATACTGTCCGTCTATAGGGTACCTCTGAAGATTACAAAAAAAGGCAACATACAGTACTTAGCTCCTGCTTGCTAATATACTGTGTGCATAATTAAATCCTTTCTTTTTCCAAATGAAAGATTTCAATTTTAATGTATTGGAAAGTGTAATTCTGAACTTTGAAAAATATTCTCTCTCAAAATTTCACTATTTAGTCTTCTTCATATGTGAGTTTATGTGTATATAAGTGTGTATATTGTAGATAATCACTAGCCCATAGGATAAAAAATAATAATAAGCCTGTTGGTAATAGTAGAGAACATAACTGTTAAATTATACATATGACCATTCTGTTCAATGCAGACAACTGGGGAAAAAGTGATTTGTCACTAGAGTTAAACTTTTGTATTTCTATACTGGTATAAAACAGGTATCTGTTTCACAGTGGCAAGTGCTACCTATTTCCAATACCTTCTCTTATCTGTCCTTCATTTACTTAAATGACTTCTGCTAGTTACAGAGAAAAAAATTGGGAAGAATATGGGCATAACATATCACCCATTATCACACTGGGTTATATAATGGCAAACAGAAATTACATCATCTTGAACACTAGTTTCATAATTCTTTGATAGAGACTTAAACTGCAAATATATAATCAAATCATAAGAAAGAGTCAACACTTCAGTAAAATATACTTAAAACACTTGGTTTTGTTCTATTTATGATAGTCTAGATTTCTAGCTGTGGCAGCTCAACCCTGGATCTCACTCAAAAACATTTAGTTACTGAACTACCAAAAGATGCTTAATGCAAGGTATTTTTAAGATAATGCAGACCTTGAGAAATACATCACGTCAGTGCTTCCAATGAATCAATATGATTATGATCTGGCTATATTCCTACCCACATATTATCCTCAAATAATATGTTAGATTTAAACAGAACCTAAATATAATATAAGCTATATTTTAAAGCCAATGTGAAATAAGAGATTATATGGTTTCCAAAGGGAAACCCTCATCATTGTTAACTTCAGCCATGCAGGATCAATAAATTATAAATCATTAAAATTTTACATTACATATGTTTCCCTAAGGTGATATGTGAAGATGTTCTTTGGCCCAGACTTTGTCTGGCAGGACTGGGCAGCAAGGTTATTTGCTTTGCAGCTCTCCTCTAAGAGGAACTTTAAAAATAACACAAGGTAAATTCACACACGTGTCTAATTGGCTTGATAAGGAAATACTTTGTGGTTAGAGTTCTACCAATAGATGGATGGCATGGAATATGAAATCTAAAACTCTATGTGGATTGAATTCATATGTCATAGTATAGGGATAACCTGTGAACTATCATATCTTTAAAACAGTACTCAACAATTTGTAAAGAAGTTGACAATTCATAGGTTAAAACTGCTAATCAAAAAAGTTATCTATTATCAATATAATGCATAACTCCCTTTAATTCTTAGGTTTTTATAAATTATTACTAAAGCTTTAGGGAGCCAAGTGAGCTTCTAGTGGTAAGGGTAAAAGTCTCTACTTTCCTATATTGTGCTGATACATAAGTTTCATTATTTTCAATCCTGACTTCACAAATAATGTCAATGAACTTTGGTAAGATGGAGTGTTAAAAGTCCCCAATGTTTTTTGGTACTTCTTCCCTCTCTATGCTTTTCTTTGCACATCAGGAAGATGTCAAGTATTCTCATTCAGATAAAAATACGGAAAGAGACAAGCCAACTCTTTCTCACTCTGAAGTCTTTGAAATCCTCTAGTAGGCTCAGTTTCTCAGGCACAGACTCCAGATGGTCCAAGGCCACTCGGGTACTCTGAAAAAGAAAACATAAGGAAACCAAACATTATAAAAAATTGATTAGTACTCTCAGAATTCAAATGCCAAAAATCAGTTTAGTATAAGCAGTTCAAGCTGTAGCTTTAGAGTCAAATAAGAACGGATATAATAGCATTTCTAAGATAAATTTATCTTTTTAAATCAGAAGAATTATTTCCTCTCAAGAAGTATATGAGATGCATTTGCAATACTGACTCAGATATAAAAACTCTTCCTGGATAATTGCTTTCAACTGATATGCTATGAAACTTTCTATAGAGCATTTCATATTAGTATTAATTTACAAAACTGCTTCAGTGAACATCAGAAATAAACCACAAGGTAATACTGAGAAATAGATGAATTTGCAGTTACTTATGTATGGAGCCTATTAGAGATTCTTAAATGTTGCCATTATAAAGAACAGAGTTCTCAGCAATTATTTTAGTAAAAAAAAGAAAAGGGAGCAGTTCTTAAAAGACTTGGGAGAAATATACGAAGTTAAACATTTGCAACAGGGATGCATGATCCTGTTGATTATAAATCAATAACTTATGCAGTCTTTGATTAGCTGTCACTATTAAATCTACCAATATAAACTTTAGAAGGAAATGATCACAAAATTTCAAAGCCAAGGTGAAATAAGAGGTTAAACGGTATAATAACCTTGAGACAAAGACTACATCGTGTGTATCATATGTGTCTCTGTATTCTTAGTCCTGTTACATGCCAGACATATTAGGCAGGCAATAGATGTTAGCTTTTAAATTTAAGATGAATTTTAATTGTTCAGTGAAATAAATGACAAATCATATGGCTGGTGCATGGGAAGATCATGTGCTCCCCTACATCTTTCATGTGAAAGGTTCTGAACAATGGACTCTTGAGTGTGTCACTTCTGGACTGAGACAAGAGTGCTACATTCCCTGTCTTCCATCCCAGCCCCAGCCATGAGAACCCTGAAGGCCACATGCTGCAGATGGCATAACTACAAAAGAGGAGGAGAGCCATCCACCGCACTGGACTTCAGGTGAGATATGAACCTCTACTGTGCTAAGCCATAAGATTTCAGGGTTTATTAGTTACCAATGCATAATACAGCATTAATCATGACAAATATCTACACTGAGAATTAAATAATTAAAATGTAAGCTAATCAAGTAGTCAACTGGCATTTTTTTGTGGAGGAGGCGGCTTTCAATGATGAGTAGTATGTGAAAATTTTTTCTCGGAAGGAGTTCAGTTTTCTTTCACTTAACCTACCTATTTGAAATCTCCTATCTCCCCCCAAGAGAGATGCTGGTCTATGCCTAGCATCTGCAATCCAGAGCCTCACTGAAGCAATTTGTCTAGAGCATATATATACTTTATGTCTCCTGCAGGGATGGAGAAAGGGAGTTGCAAGTCTAATTCTTTGTTACAGATACTTCCTATGTATCCATTTCTACCACCTCCTTCTGCAGTAATTGTGCCAATTACTCCAATTCAAAAGCCTTGCCAGAATTCTTCAGGGTGAATGACATTCGCTTTCCATTGCTACCCCCTTAACAGGTAGATGAGTTTCAACTTTTCTGTTCCAAGTCATTTTATCACTTTTCAATGTTCTGTGACTTGGAGTTACAGATGTCTTCTAGTTTTGATACATGCAAATGAATGTTTCTATCTCTTATCCTTATTTTTGTAATGTGATTTCTTTGAGAAGGGCAGAAACACCTTTACTTTGCCATTTTGAAATAGAAAGTCATATGTGCTGTTTCTTCAAGTTCATAAAGTCCTCTTTTTTAGGGTCCATTTAAAGGATTGAGCATTTTGTTCCTTCTGCTTAGCATTTATATTATTGTTAGTCTTTTGTCTGCATGTACTCACTTAAACTGCCACACATTTTAAATGACTTCATTTAATTTTTTCAAGTATAGGAAAGATTCATCAAAATGACATGTTTCTTAATATAGACCACAACTTGAAGGCTTAGGAGAGCAGGTAGTTTTAGCCACAAGTTTTGTTATGTTTATTTAAATACAATTACAGATTTTCTTAAGAATTATATTGGCCTGTAAGCAATAAAATACAAAGCAATGCCCTGATGATTTTAAAGCAAAATTTTATGCATTGAATAAAATCATCTTCATAAACACACTCTAATAATAAAGTATGATTAGTACTTTCTTTTTTCATTCCATAATTTTTCTCATTCAAAAGTGATCCTCTGAACCTAGATTAAATATGTTGAACTCATTTTGTTGTCAAAATAAGCAAATGTTCTCTTTTCCTATTAAAACATCCAGCATGTTACACAAATATTTTTGCTTAAAATTTTCAGTCAACCATTTTTTTTCTTGCACATGCTCACATGCTAGTTTTTTGACTATTTTGTTATGTTTGTGGGTATATATTCAAACAGCTACATTTTTGTGAGTCAGTCTTGAAAAACTCCTTGGCTCCTTCTTTCTTAAGTTATTTTTACACTCTTCTCTCCCACGATTTCTTGTCTCTATGTTTCCATAAACTCATCTTTACACTTTCTCACCATTCATTTCACTTGTGGCTTATTTTAAAATCTACTTATGTGTTGCTCCTAAATATCTTCCTCAATATTAGAAATACTTTTCTGGTACACAGGACTCTCTCTTATATTCTAGTTAATCAGTTATCAACAAATGTGTAGCTTAGATATAACAGAAAGATCTATAAGACATAGATAGTATACTTCCTGTTCTTCAGGAAAAGTTAACTTACTGAGTAGAGAAATGTGCATATACCAAAGACATAAAAATTATACAAAGAAAAAAGTTAACTGCACTTATTTTAAGGAAATTGCATGTACAAATGCTGAGATGTCCAGGGGATCTACAACAATAAGACGTGAAGTAATGAAGACGTTGAGTTTAGGCCTACAGGCATCTCAGGTCTCATAATGTGATTTCATCAAGTGATATTTTGGGTAGTACATTTATTTTCTGGCTCTTGTTCCCTCCCACCCCTCACTGTATGTGTGTAAATGTGCTTAAACCACCACTTTGGCATACAGACTCAATAGACTCAAGAATATGCACAGCATGGCAACTTTTTTTTTTTTTTTTTAATGTGAGAATGGCTGGGGTTCTGTGATTAGAATCTTGTCACATTACATGTCATTTCAAAATCACTTTTCCCCCAAAGCTCACAGTGTTAGAGAGATAAGATTCATTAGCGCATGAAGAGTCTAAAATAAGGAACTTGAATTTCAGAGATGCCAATAAGACCTATATATCATGTTAGTTCCTAGGGTAAAATACCTTGTGTAGAGAGTCAGGGAAACTTTTTATTTTTTAAGTTGGTTATTTTTTTTTCTACTTTACATTATCTAATGATTTAAAGGGCATGGACAAGTCTCCATTGTTAGAATTATGGGAGCAACATTCATTCTAATAATGGTATCAGCAAATGACAGGTGCTTAAGTGGTCTTTAATTTTCTTAATTCAGTTTTCTAGAATAAATAAGTCAGACGCCTACAAAAATTTTTAAAAGTGTTTCTCTCTTAAAAGTGTTCCAAGATACAAAATTTCATATCAAATTTCAAAACAAAGAAAAATTCACAAGTAAGACTCCATTTTATAAAGGCCAACACATTGAGTGTATTTGGTTTATCTCAGAGGCTTGAAGAGCTGGACTTGCATTGGCCTAGAAGCAGTGGCAAAGCAGATGATCAGTTAATCCTAATCCTGTTTAGTAGCATAATAAAAGAATGAACCATAAAAATGTAATTCTATTTTGAATGCACTTCTTAATCCCTATACTACTTTAGGAGGTAGCTGTACACTATCATTATTACCATTATACAGATGAGGCACTGAGGACAACACAGTGGCAAAACGGGTACAAATCCAAGCAGTCTGAATGCAGAAAGAGCAGTGTTCTTATTGCAAAAATATTTGCATGGCAAATCACCAGCTAAAAAAGGAGCAGATAGTGACCAGAAGCTGTAATAGTGAGCTCTTTATGTAAATGCCTAACCCCTCTCTAGCTATCAACTCTTACCAGCTAGATTTTGCAGATATGCCCTTGATGTGCTTATTTCTGAAAGAGAAAATTTTAAGATGAAACCATGAAGAATTTCATCTCATCATTGCCAAATAGTTTGTGCTCAGGACCACACATCCAGGCATACACATACACACACACAAAAAGGATCTGAATAGTCTTTCTGTTGATGAATGGATATTAACTGTGAGAAGAGGTTTATGATACAAACACCTTGTTTTTTTTTTTCTTGATTTTTAGGACTAGTGTAGTATATTATATGGTCTATAAGAAGTTCAGATAAATGTTGGCTGAATGAAGACAAAGGCAGAGTTACCATGTTCTAATAAACCCACTGAATCCTGACCTCTTTATTAAAAACCCAGAAGCATAGGTTTGTTGTTTCATTTATTTTCTCTAGACTAAGGGCAAGATCAAGTTTTGCGAAATTCACAAAACCTGTCTTGTGGCTTTTGCACCTACAGACGTCTTCAGATATCTGTTGACAAGGGCAAGAATTAAGCTGCCAGTTTTTCTATTCCAAAATCTTCAATATACACCAAACTCCTATAGAGTTGAGCTGTTTGTACTGGTCCACAGTACATTTTTCCTTAGGAGTTTCTTTGTTTCTGACTACAGGGAAATTGAATAATATAGTATGACAACATAAGTAGCAGCAATTAGGAATTAAAGGGAGGAATGCAATTCTTAGATTCCTGTCTCTTGTAGAGAAAATTTAAGAAACAGATTTAACCATGAACATATTTTAGTATATATACTTTTCTTTGTAAAAATGCATGCTTATTTTCTTATTAACATTTAACAACTACCATTTTCTTAGGGTATTATTGAAATCATATGTGTTTTGAGTTAAGATGATGAATAAATTAAAGGAAATGCTGTCTATATTTTTATTTTAAAAATAAATGTGTGTATTTTTGGCACTACACACATGTTAAATAAATAAGGTTATGAAGCCGTTTATTTGGGTTCAAAAA